ACTAAAAACATATTATCTCTCTCGATAATAATATATTCCAATAAATCATCTCAATTAGTAGCTAATTAATTGAAAAATCGGTAAAAACAATAATAAACATTAAAGAAAATAAATATACTAGTCGTCAAAATAATTAATTAATATTAAAAATTTCAAAATAAGGGTTCATCTCATCCTACCAATGTATAAAACTTGCATAATATATCGAAATTACAAGAAATCATATTTAAGTAAAAAGACATCACCCGAATTTTTGATAAATTGAGAAGATGAAGATAAATCTCGAAATCTTGAATCTCTTCAATGATTTCTTGATAAATCTCCACTTGCGTCTTCTCTTCTTTGCCCAAAAATTAGGTTTTAGTCTTCACTTGATTAAATTCTTGCAAATCTTCTTCTATTCTCTCACAAAAACTATGAATTCTTCTCATTTGATGATAATAATTGATGAATAATGGAGTATAATATGTACATGAAAGGTTTCAATATGTATTATGCTGTTAAGTATTTATAGGAGTCGAAAATTGGTTGAAAATTACGTCCAAATTGACTTCCAAAAGAGTTCTCATCGAATAAGGAAAGTTATCTTCGCGAACGGATTTTTTGTCTTTGCACAACATTCCGTATTTTGGCCATAAATTTCTCTTCCGATATCCGATTGATGCGATTCAATGTGAGTTGGAAATCTAACTCAAAGGGCTACAACTGTTCTAGAAATAGAGTTTTCCCAATTCGGACGTTTACTATTCCAAAAATGGGTCCCAATTCTCGACTAAAAATCTGGAATATAACTTGTGCGATTGAAAATTGATTTTAATCATATTTCATTCCCTTTTGAATTCTAATTCAATCCAATTGTCTGCTAGCAATCTTCAAAGTATCATCTTGTGGTCCAAATCAACTATTAAATTTGCAATTTGATCTTCAAACTTTGAATTTTGCCATTTTTCACCAATTTTCGCTTCTTTCTTTCGATTCCTTGTTCAACAATTGAGTTTTACCCATATAACATAAAATACAATAATTTGGGATATATATTTTGTCAAAAGAATTACCAAATATCGATATTTTAGGACCCCAAATAAGTGCATAAAATACACTTATCAACCGTGTTTTCAATAACACGCTTTAACGGAGGCCATTTAAGTAATTAGCCTGTGCCGTCTTGTTGGATTATTCGATGGTTCACGTGGCAACCTCCTAATGGCGGCTTGGCTGTGACAAGGATTGTGATTGTTGAATGGCTTTTGTGGTCCATTTGATTAGATCAACGGCTGAGGTTTATTCTTAGTTTATTACACCTCTTGGTTTGGCTTACAGTTCGTTCAATTTGAGAGATTGACACTCTTTACTTTTCGGTTTTTCTTATAGTTCTGCTTTATGAACAGAC